CTTCCCCAGGATGGGGCAGCCACCACTTGTCTGGGAAAGCAGAGCCACGCTCCCCTCCTGGTGGTGTCGTTTGGGGCATGGCCAGAGGGTGCAGAGCAGGGATTTTGGTGTGTCCGTGTTTCCCCACAGCTGCTGCCATGTGGAGCTGCCCGGGGCCCCTCCCGCTGCTGCTGGCGCTCGCCGTTGTCCCCGCACACGCTGCCCTGAAGGTGACCCCAGCTGTGCTCTACACCAAACCCAAACCTTCCCAGGCAGCAGCTCCTCCCCAGGCTGTCCCAGGGAAATCCCCGTTCCCAGGAGCCGGGTTCCCCACGCTCTTGCCCTTGGAGAATTCCACTCTGGACTCGGCCGAGCTTTTCTTCAACTGCTGCGACTGCTGCCCGCCCGCGGTGGGACCCCGGGGCTGGCCAGGGCCACAGGGACCCCCAGGTGTGCTGAGCCCCTCTCTGCTGGGCTGCAAACACCACACCCAGCTGCTCTTCCTGCAGGAAATCATTTGGCACGATCCGTGCAGGTCGCGGGGGAAAATCCCAGCAATGGGCAGCTCTTCCCTGCGGCAGCTCCCTGGGACAGGGAACGGCTGGAGCTGTGCCAGGGGAGGTTGGGGTTGGGTGTTTGGATTTTAGGGGAAGGTTCTTCCCCCAGAGGCACTGCCCAGGCTCCTCAGGGAATGGTCTCAGCCCCAAACCTGCTGGAGATCCAGGAGAGTTTGGACATTGCTCCCAGGGATGCCCAGGGTGGGATTGTTGGGGTGTCTGTGCAGGGACAGGGCTTGGACTGGAGGATCCTCGGGGGTCCCTTGCAGCTCAGGACATTCTGTGACTCTACAATTCTATGGAATGTGGGATGTGACCGTGATTTGTGTCAATCCAGAGCAGAAAAGGCCGTGTCAGCCACAGCCTGGAAGTTACAAACCACCAGTGTGAGTGGGGATTCCTTGGGGCCACACTGGTGTGGGACTGTCCCAAATCCCTGCTGGCAGGAGGATCCTCAGTTCTCTGCCCTGCCCTGATCCCCTTGGATTCACAGCTTTAATTCCATATTCACTTCAACCATGGCTTTATGATCCCCCAAACCTCCTTCAAGCATCTTTACTGAATGTTTCTTTATTTTTTCATTTTTTCCCCCATTGCAAAAGAGGAAATTAAAAAAAAAAAAAAAGGGTTCAATTTAAAAAATAAAGAAATGAATAAAGCACAAGAAGCAGCTCTCTATAAAGGATCTAAATCTTTAATAAAGTACATTTCATGTCTTCTTTCTACTGCTAAAATACATATCCACACCTAATTCTGCTCTAATGAATAGTGCATTATCTGCAAAAATTCACTTTAATAGCACTAATATTGGGAACGGGAACTATTCATCTGAGGAAAGGTGGGAAAATCATGAAATGATTGTCCTTTAATCCAATGCACTCCAGGGATTTTCACTCCTCATGGCCTGGGAACAGCTGGCTCATGGAAATTGTGGTGTAGAGGGAGTTTGATCTCTCATCTCTTGATGAAAAGGCCTTGTGGTGATGGAAGGTGCCACAATCTGCTCCCAGACAGGCACTGGGAATCTCTGGATTCCCAAGGGGATGGAAAAGGGGAAGGATTTCAATCTCTCCTTTCTGCAGGATCCCCTTCTACTTTTGCAGAATTAATTCTCCTTAAGGAAAGGGACCATTCCAAAGCTGTGGCAGCTCCTTGGATGTGCTCAGATATTAAAGACAGATTAATTTCTGATGGTTTATGAACCACTGAGCTCCTGTGGCACTGAGGCTGCTCAAAGTTGGTTTTTAAAAGTCTTTAACTGTGGCTAAGAGTGAAATGCAAAGCTGTGAGATTTGATGATGTCAAATCAAGCAAGCAGCTCTTCCCAAGGTGATGGAATCACCTCATACACACTCCTCAATGCCACATGGCTCAGGTATTGATGAAAATGTTATTTAGAAGTTAAACCTTGGAGTTACTGAGATGATTTTGTTGATTTTACAGGTCCCAAGGGGGAGAAGGGAGATGCTGGGCTGCCAGGAACTCTTGGCCCTCAAGGTCCAAAAGGCTCTAAAGGAGAAAGAGGTAAACCAAGCTACTGGAAAATACTGTTGTCTTCATAAAATACCACAAAATTATTAAAAAACCATATTTTTCAAAGCAAAAGCAGATTGCTGCTATGGATTGAGCCTTGGAGAGGTTTAGCTGGCATCAGGGCAGGGACAGGAACTCAGGTGGTGGCAGTGTTTGTTCAGGTGGAATAGCAGCAGCTGCTCATAAAAATCTCACTTGAAAATTCTTGTTCTGAGCAGGAATTGAAAATCTGGGCTCAGTTTGTTTTGGATTAAGACAGAAGCAGGAGAAAGCCACCATGGAAGCTGCGTGCAGGTGTGAAATCTGCATTTCAATTCCAATATCTCAGGGAAAAGAACTTCAGTGAAGCTGCTGAGCAATCCTTATCCTGAAAGGAAATCCTGCCCTTCGTCTGGGGCTTGGAGCAGCTTTATCCTGACAGGCTGTGGAGGATCCCCCGGGCTCCCAGCAGAGGAGTGTGGTGCTGCTGGGGCACTGCAGCCCCTCAGGCATTGATTTATTCCTGGAAAAGGTTTCTGGCCACCCTGGAATGAGGAATGCAGAGCTGTCACCTTCTCCATCTTCCATTAAACAGCAGCAGGGGCAGGAATCCTGGAGTGAGCTGCAGCTCGGGGCTCTGGGGTCCAGCTGAGGCTCCCGAGCTGTTCCCTCAAACCCCAAACTCTGTTTTATTAATGAAATGAGGGACACACACAAAGATGGTCCCAGCAGTGATGTTTGCTGTGCTGCACACACCAGCACCCCAATTAATTCATTAATTCATTCATTAATGTCCTAGGAGGAAAAGGGGAGCAAGGGGAGCGAGGAGCGAGTGGAAGCCCCGGTTATCCTGGGAAACCTGGGCTGCAAGGTAGGTCTGGAAAATCCAGGATTGCTCCGGCCTTGCCCTCTGCTCTGGGTTTTACAACAGCATGGAAGGACCAACCCCTGTGGATGATCCTTCCGTCTCCAGAGCAATCCCCTTTTGTTGTTTTTAATCCTCTTTTCCCCCCCAGGTGAAGCTGGAGCCAAAGGCAATAAGGGCAACTACGGCTTCCCTGGCCTGAAGGGACAAAAAGGAGCTAAAGGGGACACCTGTGACAATGGCACCAAGGGAGACAAAGGGGACAGGGGGGATCCTGGAGAGCCAGGAATGGGCGGAGAACAGGGGGACAAGGGAGAAAAGGGGGACACGGGGGACAAGGGATACTGTGGGGAGCCGGGGGGCAGAGGAGCCAAGGGAGACAGAGGAGAAGGGGGCACCAAGGGGGAAAAGGGCAGCAAAGGGGACACGGGCACCGAGGGCGGGCGGGGGGTGGCGGGCAAGCAGGGAGAGAAGGGCGAGCAGGGCCAGAAAGGTGACAAAGGGGACCTGGGCACGGCGGGGCCCAGCGGGCCCAAGGGCGAGCCGGGCCCCAAGGGCGGCCGAGGCGCCCCGGGCAGGAAGGGAACGCGCGGGGCCAAGGGCGGCTGTGGGGACATCCCCAAAGCGCCACGCTCGGCCTTCAGCGCGGGGCTGTCCAGGCCCTTCCCTCCTCCCAACGTGCCCATCAGGTTTGACAGAGTTTGGTACAACGAGCGCCGCGATTACGACCCCGCCACGGGCAAATTCAACTGCAGCGTGCCCGGCGCCTACGTCTTCTCGTACCACGTCACCGTGCGCGGCCGCCCGGCGCGCCTCAGCCTCGTGGCCAGCAGCAGGAGGGTGGCCAAGGCCAGGGACACCCTCTACGGCCAGGACATCGACCAGGCCTCCTTCCTCACCATCCTCAAGCTGAGGGCGGGCGACCAAGTGTGGCTGGAGGTTGGGAAGGACTGGAACGGGCTCTACGCCGGCGCCGAGGACGACAGCGTCTTCACGGGGTTCCTGCTCTACCCCGATGGCTTTGAGGTCGTTCTCTGAGTTGAGGGTGTGAGGATAACCCTGGGGAATGGCTTTGCCCTCTGGGTGGGTCGCTGTAGGGCGAGGGAGAGGGGAGAAAATACAGCAACAGGAGTTTGATGCAGAAAGCAGGAGAAGCGATTGGTTGCAGGAGTAGGCACGTTTTTATAGACTGCAGAGAATAAGATCAAGGTTCAAGGAAGGCAACACTTTTTGTCAACGTGTTTTTACTAAAACATCACTTTCCTCACGCACTCCTCCTGTCCACACCGCCAGGTGCTAAACTTCGCTATTATTATTTTTTTAAATTTTTTAAACTTCGTTATTAACTTTGCTAAACTTTGTTATTAATCTTTTCCTTTCCGTTTTCCTTTGAGTAGCTTGGGAAAACTCAGACTGTTGTTTTCCCTGGTTCTCACCAGCATCCACATGGGTGTGAGAGGAACAAAGGGCAGCACCTTGGTTTAGTTGTTATTTTGGTGATGTTTCAACAAAAAGACGTTTATATTTGGAAGGCATGGGTTAGTTTGGGAGAAGTCACACATCCTTTGTGCATTGTCCAAGCACCAACAGGAGCAGCAGTGAGAGGAGCAAAGGGCAGCACCTTGGTTTAGTTGTTATTTTGGTGATGTTATTTTGGTGATGTTTTATATTTACAATGTATGGGTTAGCTGGAAGAAGTCACAAATCCTTTGTGAATTGTCCAAGCACAGACAGGAGCAGCATGGGGAGGGCATTTCCCAGCACAGGTTGTAATTAGAATATTCAAATCATGGAATGCAACTCCTCCCCAGTTCCTGCAGTCATGCATGGTCCAAACTCCCTCTAGGAATCAGTTCTGATCACCTCTGATTCTGGTAAAAATGCCAGGATTTGATTTATAGAGCTCAGCCAGATGGAAACATGAGCAGTAGGTTCCTTGAAATCACCTGAAACAATTGGAATTTATCTCTCTTTTATCCTTGAATCAGTATTAATTAGTGCTTTAGTCTTGGCCATAAATTATAGAAAAATTTGTCTAAAAGAATATTAGATCAGTGTAAAAAAACCCCTCCTAGCTCTTGTTCTTCAACAAAAATAAATCTGAAACTTTCAAAAGTAGCTGAGAGATGAATATTTTATTTTATTGGTCCACTCAGACCCCCAGTTTCTGAGCCTCTGATGCTGTGGGATCATCCTTGGGCTGCTGGGAAGAGGAGGAAGAAGCCAAAAACAAACTTTGGAACTCCCTCGAGGTGTTGTGATGGCTCAGAGGATTTGTGGCAATGTTTAAAAAGCCTCACAGAAACCATTTGACCAGAAAACCTTAATGCAACGTGCTTTCCACCTTAAAAATATTGAAGTATTTTTAAAATCCCTCATTTTGAGCTCTTTTTTTTCTTATTTTTCACCCTGTGGTAGAATGACAATGGATTGACTGAGGATGTGCTTTGTCTCGTTATGGAGCCCTGCTTAAAAAAAAAAAAAAAAAAAAGAAAAAGATAAAATATTTCTTCCATTTCACTTGTGTTTTTATTAGCAGGGATTTGTTTGGTAAAACTGTCTCCTCTTCAGGCTGCAGTGAAGCATTTTGAGACTGGTGGGAGAAAATAAATGCTCATGGTTCTCATCAGTCCAGCAGCTCTTCTTAGTAATTATAAAAAATTATTCCAAAGCCATAAAAACACCTCTTTTCTGCTGTTTTCCATGTTTTTAATCTGATATTCCACAGATTAGCACTTAATTCTGTGATTTTAGTGGCAGGACTGGGTTTTTGCACCATTCCATGAGGGCTTTGTCTCAGTCTCTTCTGCCTTCACTCAGGGTCAGGATTAACAAACACAGGATGGAAATGAATTTTCTCGTGTTTGGGGTTTGGTTGTTCATTAAATTTTATCTAAAGTACAGAGAGTTCTGCAACACTTTTTACCTGTTAGAAGGGAGGAAAATGGAGCTGGATCCAGCTGGTTCCAAGGTGTTTTAAAGCCAAACAGTCCAATAGAGAATTAACACCTCTATTATTGATAATTTTAACCCAATAATTAAATTCCCATGACCCTCAGGGCAGCACTGACTGTCCAACCAAAAATTGCCTGAAACCATGGAGAAGAGGGAAGAAAACAGAAAAAAGACAATACCCAAAAATCCTCCATCTTGTCCCATCCCTATTTCTATATTATAAAAACCTCACATTTAAAACCTTTCACACCATGTGCAATCACACATTTCTATTTAACCACACACCCGTGATTTTAACTCCAGCACTCAGATTTGGAAGCTTCTCCAAGGCCTCAGCTCCAAAGCAGTGTTCTCCTGGGGGTCAGTGCCAGAAATCTCAAAAATCCCAAATTTCTGAGGTCCAACAAAATCCCACCTTTGCAGCCTGAGGGCTGGGGATTGGTTAATTAAAGGGATAATATTCCAGGTGGGAATTCTGCATTTATTTGGGATCAGGGAGTTGAAAGGTTGGATCTTCACTCAGCTCTTTCTCCTTCCTTTCTGGAATTCCTATCCCAGGTAAGCCCCTGATTCTATTTAACTTTGATTTGGATGAAAATAGATGGATTTCACTAATTTCCACACAGGAATTCAGATCAGAGTTCCAAATATGAGATAATAATCCAAATTCTCACATTTCAGCTGAAATGTGCTTTTTTTTAATTTTTTTTTATTTTTTTTTTTTTTAATTCTATAGCTTTGCTTGTGGCTGCTGAAAAGTTTTCCCCTTTTGAAAGGAGGAAAAATATGTTTTTGATGGGAATTAAAGTGGTTTATGAATAGGGAATATTTATGGTGCTGCTCTCCAGGTACAGTCACTGGTGTTTATTCCCAGGAAAAGCTCTGCCATAGTTTCATGTCTGGATGCTGGAATTTCACCAATATTCCTTGAAAGACTTTCAGGCCAGAAGTGTCTCTTTTTAAAAAAAGATTGAAAGTGGAAACAAGGAGGATTTGCTCCTGGGTGGTTTTATGAGGTTCCTATTAATATCATCTGTCCGAGATTCTCCTGAATTTAGATGTGTATATTAAATTTTTCAAGTCTCCTTTGGGGTAAAATTGAATCACTCAGCTCGTTTTAATGACTTCTTTGAATTTTTTTGTTTTAAATGGGAACTTTTTCAAGCAGAGATTTTCCATTTTCTGAGTGAAATTCTTTTTGCTGCAGCCAGAACTTCCATCTTTTACTCCTTTTATTTTATTTTATTTTTTTTTTTTGGAAATATATTATTTCAACAAGATCAAACTGTGGATGGATTGAAAATGCACTGGCTCTGTTTTAGCTTATCTTTCTCAGTTTAATCTTTGGTTTTCAGCCTCTAAACCAATCTGGTTTTAGTCTGAGCCTCTCTAGACTTTACCTCATTTAAAAATGGGAAAAAGAGGACTAAGTCATCCTAAAACTCAGATATCTCTCATTTATTTTTTTAATCATGATTTCAGTGTTTGATGGGAGATGGATCATTTAAAAAGAGGTTTTATTTTTATTTTCTTTGTGAAGGAACTGGGATGTGGGGTCTGTTTGAGGGACCCAGGTCAATGTCTGGGAGAGGAGAGAAAGAAAAAGCAGCTCTGGGTGATTCTTGTCTGTTTTTTGTTTTTTTTTTTTCTGATAAAAGATCGATGTAAATGTGGCTTTTCTAGGTGATAAAACACTGATTTACCCCTGACTTGGAAGCAGCCATGGGGGAATTTCTGGTGCACTTTTCTCCCTGCCAGAGGAAACTTTTGTTTTTAATTACTAAATTCTCTAGATTTGCCTCTTACCTTCCTTTTTTTTTTTTTTTTTTTTTTTTTTTTTTTTTTTTTTAACTTCAGGCTGTGTCTGCTTAACGAAAAATCCTGAAGGAAACGCTCATGAAGGAGAAATTCCATCTGTGGGGTGCTGAGGGCTGGAAAAACTGGGAGGATCAAACCCAAGCACACACACACACACACACACACACACAGTGGGGTTTTGTTTGAGGAGATGGGGACTCCAAGGAGTAAAACTCGATTTTACAGCCCCTGTGGAATATTATCCTCACGCTTTTCATTATCCAAGGGAGTTTTTATTGCTCCATAACCATTCCCCAGGCTCTAGGACATTCCTAAATGTGTGTTTAATGCACTGCTGCATCAGTTTGGGGTTGAAAGGGCACCCACCCAGTCCATAAAATCACCTGGCTCAGTGTCTTTCCTTTGGCAGAGTGGATAAAATGCCAGGATAATCCCATGGTTTTATGGGAGCTGAAGTGTTCTTTTTTTCACTTTGACTCCTGCCCTTTTCCTTTTGATTTTCAGCTGGGTAACACTGGGAACTAAATTGGCTTTAAAAGGTGGGAGATTGGGGTTAGGGAGGAAAGTTTTATAAACACCAAGTCCAATAATTTGGGTTCGAAACCTTTGTGATGCTGCTGAACGGCTCCTGCTGGATAAAATTTATCAGAATATTTTCTCTTCAGTGAAAGAAGCAGTTGGGAGCTGTGGAAAATAAGGATGAAACTACAGGAGATCTTGGGAAGAAAGAGAAAGAAGCTGCACATGTTTCCTTCCAAGTCCTTCAGGAGCTTTTTGATAGCAAACAAATATTCGTGTTAAATTTGACAGGACATCTTAAATATTTCTCTGTTTTGTAAATCACACCTCTGGGAAAATCGGTGTTAGGAGAATTTAGATAATGGTGACAATTTCCAGAGTTTTCTCTGGGATCAGTTACAGAAGCTGGGGTGGTTGTTTTTCCCCCCTTCTCATAAAAATGTAAATTGGAGGAGGAAATGTCCCCGGGTTGGGAGTTCCTGGCTCTGCTCTCCTGGGAGAAGGAGATTTTTCCCAATCTCCCTGACGCTGAGATAATTGGCTGATGTTTAATTAGTTCTGCTCCTCCTGGCTAATAAATGAGAAGGGAATGGATGTTACCTTTTCTCTGGGACTGGAGGGGAAAGGAGGAATTACAAATTCCAGATGTTTGCCATGGCTGGCACAGCTGTACCTGGACAATAAAGCTGGAATTTCTGTCCCTGCAGTCCCCAGCACTGGGAGGGGACAAAGCGCTGATGGAGGCA